ACGTCTACTAACGCGTTCGCCAGGCTTTGCTGATCCAGGTTCCGTCACTATTAATGCCTCGTTGTTCGCCTCTGTCTGGAGGATCAATGTTCAACCTGGGGACGTTATACAAGCGGCGGACGACGTGCTGTTGATCCTCGAAGCTATGAAGATGGAAATCCCAATACGAGGAGGGGAACGGAATGTCGGTAAGACCATCAAGCAGCTTGGGAAAGGTGTTGCAGAAGGAGCTTCGGTTAGCCCTGGCGATGTCCTTTTTGTGCTTTTATGAAACAAATTCTTTCACGTCGCTAAGTCACTCTCCGTGGTCATCGTTACTGCCAAAATGTACTGGAATCTGTGCGTAATGCAAGCTAAGAAGTTGGGCTATCCTAGGCCGGTACTTCGCGATTCAACAGGAGCAAATAATTTGAACGTGCATTTCAAAGTTGATATCGCGACTTCATCGCAACCGCCATCATGAACCAAGGGCTTATACAAGCAGACTGCTTTCTCGCGAAACCATTACTTCGGGTGACATGGATGCCTTCCAATGCATTGTACATCAAGCGCTCTTGTAACCCCGTGGAAAACCAGGTGGAGTACGAGCTACTGTTCGTGCATGTGTGACCATATGAAGTTAAAAGGTATATTTAGACTGACGTCCCACACCCACAGACAAGGGTAAATCCCACCAATTTTTAGATGGAGCCCTTTTGGCGGCCTACCGCCAGTTGTAAGCCGATGGGAATTGCGACTCCGGCTGATGCGTCTGAGCTTTTTTGTCGATTTGCGGTTCGTGACAGCATCGAGTTCGTTCCCCATCTCAAACAAACCTGCAACACGCCTAATACCACTTGCTGGTATTTTTGTCTTTGCATACTCGCAGGAATTCCCAATAACCTACCCTTGCGCAAATCCTCACAGTACTTTGCCGCTACTCGCACACATGTCGCGCTCACACCGTTGTCCCTAGACTTTGGGGAAAGCCAGGATGAGAAGTGCAGATCGCGACAACGCTTTCGCGCATCTCACGCTGCGAAACCCCCTACACCCATTGGTGAAGTGCAGGGGCGCGAAAAAATGCCTCACGTTTAAAAGGGCATCAAACGGCGCAGAGTAAGGCAGGACTTCCCTCTGTCACAGAATGGTTCTCTTGTCGCTCTTGGCTCTGTCAAGCATCGTGCCTGCAGCACTTGCTGCAGTACGGCACTTCGACCTCTCCATCGTTAATGCTGTCGTCGCTCCTGATGGATTTGCACGCCAGTAAGCTCAGACAGTCGTGTCCTGATATTCGCCACTAATTATTGCACATCTAAGGGCCGTCTTGGCTGGTGGGACGTTCCCTGGGCCTACCTTCGCTGTCAACAAGGGCGATTCCGTGGTAATACCCACACACAACAAGCTGGCCAACCCTAATATGAGGCAAAGTACCTCCATCGTAAGTAGAGATCTATCTCAAAGCCGGGTATCAGAGCTCATACAGCATCATAATAGCATTGGCACGGGTTCTTCCAAGCTCGCACATCTGATATGGATGGTCCTTCGTAGGTTACTTTGCACGGACTATCGTTAACTCGCTCTAATCATGCTTGGCATATCAGATTCGTCAATCAGGTATGCTGCTGTGGGTACCATTCCTTATGGCGGCTATTCTAACTCTGCATTAGTGCCCCATCCCTCCAAACACGACGTTCACATACGCCTTCGACACTGCGGGACAAACGGGAAAGTTAGTCACGTCAATTTTAGGTCCCAATCGGTCATCTGATCAGTTCGACGCTCCAGCTACTGGTATCACTCCCATCTGTCTACCCAGTATTGCGATGGCCTTCGTGGAGCGTTTGTCGTCTACGGTAAGCTTGAATCGATGCTTGGGCTTTTTTCTTGCTGAAACTTTTTTAAGATCCGTTTGATCCGCTGAGGCACCTCTATGATGTGGACGATGGTACGTGTCATAAGCGGCCAGGCTTAGGAAATACAACCGACAAAAAACCATAACTATAGCAAGCACCGTCATCACCCTTGCAGACTGGTATCACAATCTCGCTCCTGCCGCGCAGAACACGTTCTTCCAGAGTGGCGTAGTTCCGTTCGTTCATTCTTCTTTGCCCTCAGTTTCTTCATGCTGAACTTGCAATTAGCATTCCTGACTCGGGGTTGATCAACGGCAAAGGACGATTCGTCGGCGGCCCTCTTGGTAAATAGACTCAAATTCCACGACCGCAGAATATTGATCAAGCTGAACAGTTCCCTACGCCGTCATCAACGTTGTAAGGGGGAAGAGGTACAGGCTTCGTATCTTTGCGATTTCTTGCCGTCCTTTCTTCACTTTCTCCGTCGACAACCACAATATCACTTTCATGGAAGCCGATGGTATCGAGCATGACCCTACCGTTGTCCAGAACGTTGATGTCTATGCTGGTACGTTTCGTTGACGCATATTCGGAAACCTATGGTTCTGACCATGCCCGGTATAGCGCAACGTGTATCCGTCATCTTGAACGCGAACCAGCCTGTTGGAAATTACTGGATCCGAGCACCTCCCACTGGCGGCGCCCCCGCTGGAAACCCCAACTGTGCGTTGATCCGAATTGCCCTACTTAAAAGTCCTGAAGTCGTTCGCAGTCAACCCCGCTCTTACTAAGGCGATCTTGAGGTACAAAGGTGCACGAATCGCCGAGCCCACCACGAACAATACAGTTGGACCCAAGCTTCTCGACCAACAGATGCATGTATGTGGTCCTTTAATCTCTTCACAAGGATCCGCAATGAATAAACCTCACACAGCCCATCGCCTCTGAACATCCTGGAATGGTATTTCATTCCCCTTAATCGCTCTGATTTTGTGAAACTCATACGACGCTCGCGTAGCTCGGTTCGGGACCCGCAGACGTTGGTCAGTTTGAATGTAATGCGACGTTATCATCGCGTACTGATTTCATCTTGAAGCCATCACCCTCAACATCGCTCAGCCTAACCCCCCCTTCTTCGACATCAACGGCATCTCTTACATCTCGCCCACGGTCCCCGTCCTCTTGCAGTTGCTCAGCGGAGCCGCCAAGGTGAAGCGCTCAATTGCACTATACCTGAAAAGCCGTTGAGGTCTTGTTGTTTAGCCCCAAGATCTCCTTCCTTCGGAACAAGTGTAAGCGTGCAAATCTTGCCTGGATAGCTCAGTTACTTACCGTCGTTCTTCGAAAGCTTCATCCTCCCAAAGAACAAGTTGATTGAAGTTTCCATTCCAGGAACTGGAGGTGCGTCGCCTTATACCGATAAACCAACACTCCTCTGACACCAATTCCATAACATTCTAGCCCATCCCTTCCACTGTGAGTAGCGAATCAGCGTATGCGGAATGATCTTTCTCAAGGTATCCGCTGAATAGTGCACGGTCACGCCTTCGATGTTATCCGCCCGTCCAACGACAACAACACCAACTTCGTCAAGTATGTTGTTCACTTAGCCGTCATATAAGTCCCGAAAATGACCATTCACAACCTACAGCCCGCTCCGGCGTGATGTCTATCCGAGTAAGTCTCGACTGGTTGCATCATCTGCTCTTCCTCATTAACGCTCTGCATGACTAGTCAACGGAGGTAACACGACGTTCAGATTCTGTACGTACACTTCGTCTTGTTTCCCGTCGCCTGCCGCTCACCGCATACTTCCTAAGTCTCTGGGAACCCCGGTGCCTGGTTCTTGCATTGGTACGTCCCCTCGTTCCGTCGCTAAGGTATTCGGACTCATCCCGCCCCTACAGTCACATTGACTGGCATCTCGAAGCCGGCCTTGCCATCGTTTTCGCAGAGGCGCCTGCCGATAACATTGCTGGACCCCAATCCCAGATTACGCCTCAGGACTGGAAGGACCTCTGCCCGATGTACGATGCGCTCGCTCCTGACTTCCAGTGATTGGCCTAGGGAATTCCTGTCGACAGATAGCATGATTAGTGTAACACACGAAGCGTTGTATACAGATAGCTCAATACAACCAGTATCGTTCGGTTCATTCTTACAACTGACAGGGTATGAAGATCGAACAAGAACATGTATTGAACATCAAGGACAGGCAAACAAGTACGAACTATGACAATCTAGAAAGAGACAAATATCAATTAGTACATCGTTCGAATAATGTAGATGTGCCAGGCGATCTCTGCGTCCACATAGAGGGTCAGACATCCAAAGGAAGGTCGTTTCAACTCGCATCGCGTCGACCCCCGCCTCGCATCATCGCACCACAAGGGCGGCCCACAGCTCAGCGTGTCTTTTGGGTTCAACACAACTGAGGGGGAGAATTAATGTTTGGCATTGGGGGAGTACTCCGAAGAGGACGCTAGAGTGGAAACTGCGAATGAAGGTGTATTTCATCAAGTATGTGGACGCAGATCGATCCCGAACAACAAGGAACATGAAGGAGACTTACACGAGGTATGACCAAAGAGACCGCCTATCGAGCCAAGAAGATAAAGCGCCTGAAGGTGAAGAAAATTAGTACTGCGTCGAAAGGATGGTTGTGGGAGAAGAATCAGACAAAAAGGCACTGGCAAGTACACTGTGCGCCCCGAAGGGCGCGTATCTGTTGCGAACAGATGTGCTCTATTCCTCGGCATGGTCGTGTAGGACGGGGAAGAGAATAAAGTCATCACTTGGATCTTCCGTCCATGAAGGACGAAGACACGTAACAAGATGGAGAAAGGATACTCACAAATAGGGGATGGATGAGGAAGACGGGATGAAGAGACGATGATCTGGAAAAAAAAGATTTATACATCCATGATGTTTGGTCAGCTTTGTCAGGGTCCGTGCACGTGCACGTGCTCCTCCAGTTATTTTCCTGGCTCAGTACTAGCAGCTGCGATCCCAGCTGGGTATTGTCCTGCAGTGCTTGCTATAGTAATCACATCCTGAAGAGAATCGGAACATCCTTGCTTGCTATAGGAAAGAGGCGTAAGATTGAGCGTTCGAGCAAACAATGAGTAAAAGCATAGTATACGTCACCAGCTGCATCAGGAACAAGCCGCGTTGGCGTAGTGGTAGCGCGTCTCACTTGTATCAAGTCGTGCAATGAGAAGGTCATTCGTTCAATCCGGGTACGTGGCATCTTTTTTCTCACCGCATAGACCATCGTGGGCGACGTGTGAGCTCCTGAGCGTGCTCTTGCGGCGGCTTGCCTTTGGAGTTTGTTTTGGAAGCTCAGATATGTCAACCATTCGATAGCTTCAGGAAATCAAGAAAAGAAAATACAATACACCATACACAAATCAGTTAGCCGCTATTCTTTCTCTAACTTGTACTCTCAATCCGCGCCCCTTGCTTGTCCAAACATATCCAGCCGATGTTTGATCTGGAGGAGACGATCTCGCCTATCTTCTAAGAACGCTCGTCGCTTTGCCAACGCAGGATCCTCCGTGAGCATCGCTTTCATGTTCCGTGCTACGTCAGTGTGCGTCAACAAACTCTCCAAGAGGCTTTTCTGGAGGGTATTTGCAAGCGCCTGGCTGAGCTCATGCTCGATAGATAGCGGAATGTAGTCAATGATGCGCTGCGGGGAGGAATTAGCCCAGTATCATTGACAGACAAAGACAAACACCCACCTTGTATGCAACCTGGAAGTACGCACGAACGTTGGCCATAACGGCAAGAGCAGCATGGTCGCCCTCAGCGATATCATACTCACGATGATTACTAAGAACATGCTGGTTTCGTATAGCTGGCCTCAGAACTGAAGTTTCTGAATATCGCGCGGTGTAGTATTGCTGTAGCCAGTGGTTCGCCTCAGAAGAGAAATGCTCGGTATTTTGCGTGAAGGCTGGGATACTCTCGAGCCTGAGCATCTTCATGAGGGTATGCAAAGTTTCAGCTTTACACTTGTCAAGTTCGGCTTTGGTTATCGAACTACGTGATGAACTTGTTAGCATCTATCGAAACGGATATGGGAGACGCCAGACGAACGCAACGTGTTTCTGGAGGTCCTTGAATTGTCCGAAGTGCTGCGCCGTCAGGTCCTGTATGAAGTCCGAACAACGTGCAAATATATCTTCGAAGCAAGACATGGTAGGCCCGTCCCAAAGGCTGGTGAACTTGAGGATATAGTTCTTGGTTGCGTTGTACGGTACGTGAGTTGGGAGCTCCCATCCCATGGAGCTGCAGCGTTGTATGAGTTACGCAGGTGTAAAATAGACCAGTTTCCAAAACTTACTCTGCGATAGCTATCTTGACCTCATCTACGTCGATCGGAGGCCCGGAAGGTCCCTCTTGGCCCTCGGATACGTCGCTCCAAGACATCAAGTAGGAGGGCTTGAAGTTGGGGCGTGTGCGAAAGATGTCCTTCTTAAACCCCTCGTAGCGACGACGATTGCCTTGAACGAGACCTTTGCTGCTCTCGCCGAAGACGGCCGAACGAAAATCATCGCAGAACTTGGTTATGAGAAGGACGACTTGTGTCGAAGGGTCATTAACGCTAAGAGCAGGGAGCTTCTTCAACTGGGTCTGGCAACTGACGAGTAACTGCTGCACTTGGTCGTTTAGTTTGGGCAAGCTAGTCGAAAGCAATCAGCCTTCGATGCGAAAAAAAGAGACGGAAGCGCATACTTATTTTCGATGAGCCGGACGAGGAGTTCGCTGATATTGGTTACGAAATTGGGGACTCCGAAACGATTACGGTCAGCGATAGTATTCCACGGCGCGGTGTTCTCGAAGAAGTGGGCGGCGATCTTCTGGGATTCCACTCGCGATATGTTACGGCCACGCTCATCGTCGTCTGGCAAGCGAACACAATAGTAGCCGTGCTTGAGGGGATTTGAAATGCCTTCGATAACCTCCTTCCATCTCTTCCGATCGCCAATTGCGCCGGGGGTGAGCTTATCTGGTTTTGTCAGGACACCTGAAATATCCGCGGTCATGACGGGTATATGATGCGAGGACAGGGTGCGGGACAATACCTATCGTGCGCTCCCCTTTGGGATCGGCCTCTCTAGCGAGACGAACTGCAGCTTGATTTTGAATATCGTCTAAACAGGCGACGAGGGTGGTCGGTGTTCAGTTAACTTGACTGATATATTGTAGCAAACTCTGTACATACCACTCATCGGAATCGCGACGAGAATAAGCGTGTTCTCGCCTTGGATGTGTGTCTCGACGAGGTCCTGAACGAGGGCGATGTCATTGAGGTCCGAGTTTTGGATGAGCCCTGCGATTGGAAAAGAAATAATCAGGTTGGTCGTGGCATCGTCGAGCGTACCCACGTACCAGGTAGGTCAATGAAGGAGAGGTCAGTTAGGTCAGGGTCCTTGACGTCGATGAAAACAATGTTTTTCGAAAATGGGAGAGTGTTCAGGTCCTTGGCATTCTTCAAGTCAGCCTCTGTTTTCGTCAAGAAATCTTTGCTGGGAATGTGAGGATTCAAGATAGCTGCTTGGGCGCGGCGAAGGTAGATCTCCATTTTCTTCTTGTCGCGGAGAGCAGGACCGAATGCCTCAGTAACTGGGGCTGCGAGTGGAGTCCCATCGTCCGCGTGAGTCTTTCTAAGGTAAATCGTGCATGACCAAGACTTCGCTGTGGTGGACATCGAGCACTCCATGGGGCACCTGCCAGAACGATACACTGGCTTAAGGGTCTACTCCAAGCAAAGGGCGACCGATACTTACCTAGTACACGTTCCGCTGTCCCTGGGGACATTGATCTGTTACTTTGATGAGCATAAACGACGACAAAGGGGGTCAAATTACTCACACCGCTCACGGCTTCGACCAGGGAGCTTTTTCCCGCTAAAAACAGGACTAAATTGACATGACAATAGGTGAGTTGGACACGTTCTACGTACCAGATTGACTACCGATCACAGTTAGGCGAGGCATGTCCAGAAGAATTCCTGCCCTAAAGGCGAATCAGACGAAAAGGATGGTCTCCGAGGAAGAGCAACGGACCCCAGCTCCGAGAGGTCTCGATGCAAGGCCATGAGCTCCTTACACCTGCGTGCATAGTCCGACGAGGTAATCGGCGTGGGATCTTGAGAGGGTAGCTTAGATGACGTCGAGCCTCCGCTGCGTGTACCACTGCTCCCGCCGCTGGGGCTGGGGCTGATGGTGTTTCGACGCGCGAGCTTGGTGAACATGATCTGCAAGGTAGGAAACTCTGAGATAGTCGGAGAGGACAACACATCTGACTAGCCCTTTTATGAGACGAAGCTAAGCCACGAGGACCCAAGGACAGGCCCTTTTTCGATTCGGAACGAATGGGTGCGTAATGAGGCATGGCTATAAGAAGCAAGGAATGAGAGTATCGGCGTACGTCATGACGCGATTGAGACGACGTGTTTAGGGCGCCTACCTTAGCCTTATCCAAACTGGCATGCAAAAGCATGGAAATCACTGATCACGACGTACCTCGGCGTCAATCTATACAAGGGCGGCATGGGACTGATTGTTTTGCATATGCTACGACAATTCCATTGTTCCTCGGGACCGCGGTATCGACCTAGGAAGCAGCGAAATTGCTGGTCCAGAATCCCATCAACTTCGCTCAAATCCATTACTGATATCATGCAGTTTGCCGTTCGAGTCTGAGCGCATGGGAAGGTCAGGTTCCGGGCTCGCGTCTTAGAGATGAAGCAGAAGAAGTCGGTTGGGCGCTTCAAAGCTTCTGTGACCCATATACGGACCACGTAATGCGTTTTTTGATGTGGGCATGCCTATACCGGAATCGCCACCGCGTCCTCATGGGTGCCAAAAATGAAAGGGTGCAGGCGCTGCATAGAGCTTCTGCGAATGGTATCCGGAAGCTTGAGTCTGACTTGACTGTATGGTGAAATGGATAACTTCGGGTCTTCTGGTGTCTTCTGACTTGCGCACAGCACGATGACAGCACATCCTAGATAGAACCTTCAATAGAGAGATTATCCTTTTTCGTAATGTAATAGCTATAGCGTGTGATACAATCTTAAGAAAACTTGGGGATGACCTCGTCGCTTTTCTGTAGTAGAAGTCAACGGTGTGCACTTGACAAAGAGACGACTCACGAAAGGGAACCCCTATGCCTGTCACCGGGAAATTTCCTAGGTAGCAGCCGTTCAGAGGTAGTCCCGCCGACGAGCGTATCCAGAACATTCCCCAGCCACATATGATGTCAGTCCTAGACATCCCAGAAATACAGGTTCTCGATGTTTACGCCATGGCATCCAAAGCCCAAGGTGACACCGATTCAGGTTGAAACAGTACTCTTGCACAGAAGACCCGGGACGCGTCGTTATCCACATTTTATGCCATGGAGGACGCCGCACCGTATTTCGATCCAACCGCCGACTCCAATTACTCTACGATCCTCCATACTCGCCCATGGGTATATTATCGGGGGACATCCACCACAGTCCCTGTCACTGTACTCGGTAGGCGGGTCCTCCCTGACAATCGCGCCTTTTACCTGCAACGGCGAGGCTGGCGGACCGGCCTGCTAGGTTGGACAATCGGTGCGTGGCTGGGGGGAACGATAGGAAAGGAGATGAATGTAACGCCAGACAAGTCAGGAGACTGGGAAAAGGACGTCGATCCCAAGCAAAGGGAGAAAATCGACCGGGACATCAAGAAATTCGTCGAAGGTGGGCGGCTGCCGAGGGATCACAAGGCCCTCGAGTCGGACTTCATACATATCCCAGTCGCTGCAGGTGATGGTTATTTCCGAATCCTCGTGTATCATCCATCAGCATCAGTGTTTTCGCCCATCGCTTCCACCACGACATTCCGCGTCGGGTCGCTGACCGTCAGCTCGTCTCACCCACGAGGCGCATCGATCCTCACCATCGTGCCCGAGCTTTCATTGAAGATCGCCTGGGTGGTCGCCACTACGGTGGCGATGACCATGTTCTACAGCATGTTCCCGTTCCTGAAAGTGGCGCAGCTGGTGCCCTTTACGAGCACATTTGCTAACTGGGCTCTGCAGTTCCTGTATAGGCTTACGGGAGCTCAGCAGTTGACTGCGCGCCTGAAGGAAAAGTACCACGTTAGAGAGAAGAAAGTGAAGGCCGAGGAGTCCATGAATCGTGCTGTACGTGACTGCCTTCATGTCCGCTTACAGCTGAAATGACTCCCGGACATCGTAGGTTCCGA